TTCCTAGCCCATTTGTGAGTGTTCTAAGCTTGGTGGTGTCATTTCAAGGTAGCAAAGGAGAAGAGGAGTCCATTGTGGAGGCTAGAAGTTGGTGTTCAAGTGTAGATCCGAGTTTAGCAAAGGTTGGAGCTTCATTCTAAGGTAAAAAGTTTGGATCTTGACTTGTAGTTACTGTGGTATGCTTTATGGACCATTTTCTAGGGTTTTGGTCCCAAAGGTGGAGACTTTATGAGCAAGTAGTCTCCATTAGCTTAGATCCACCATATTTCTGGTCCATTTGAGTTGTAGATTCATAAAAATGTAATCTTGGACGTGAATGATTAGCCATGCATGAGATCTAGATCCTTGAGTTGAAATGGAAAGGTGTTAAGGAGTGTAAGAGCCTTTACAGCCATGCCAAGGCTTAAAGGTTTCGACTTTATGCGTAAGGATGCTTAAATAAAGTCGGATCTAGAAGTTAAAGTAGTGGCTTAACCGATTAAGACCAGAAATGAAGAATGTTTAGATCTGACTATTACGCTGGGCGTAACTCCCAGTACGCGCAGCGTACCGACTTTTGAGTTGGCGATGTACGCCCCGCGTACATCAGGCTGTACGCCCTACGTACTGAAATGTTGACTTTTGTTGACTTTTAGGGTTTTGGTCAACATGTGGACTTTGAGTCAAGGAAGGGTAAAATTGTCTTTTGCCCTCTAAGGAATGATGATAAGGGGTAAAGTCTAGTTGTGGAAGTCTATATTAATTAAAATGATATTCGTTATGATTAGGCGAGGTTGAGTCTTCATTTGGGATTCAGAGATAGTGAGCACGTGAGATTCTAGACTTTCCACAAGGTGAGTTTTCTCACTATACTGTACCCGGAAGGGTTTTATTGTGTGACCGGAAGGTCGGATATGTTATGAGTTGTATGCATTATATATGATAAGTTAATCGTTTGGATGTGCTATGTATGCTATGCTTGATATGGGTCAGAAGGCATTATGTTATGGGCCGGAAGGCATATATGTTATAGGCCGGAAGGCGTTGTGATGTGGACCGTAAGGTTGACGCAGGTAGGACCGGAAGGTTTACCGAGTTGGGACGGAAGTCCCCTGAGACACATGGACCGGAAGGTTCGGGTCTGGAAAGGCGTATGTGTGTAAGTAGTATTTTGGGGAACTCACTAAGCATTTATGCTTACAGTTGTTGTGTTATGTGTTTCAGGTACTAGCGAGGACCGTGGGAAGGCGCTGGCGTGATTTGTACACCCTGACGAAGGAACTGTTTTATGATCATGGGATGTATTTTGTTACAATGACATTTGTTACACATGTGATTTCAGAATATTAAATGATGGTTTTCGATGTTTGCAAAAATGAAAAATTGTTTTGAAAATTCACGTTGTTACAATTTATTTCCTTTTGTTCAAACAAGTTATATTAGTAAAGTGATTATAGTTCATTTTTAATCTTCATCGAGTTGAGAGCTACTTACAAATCAAATGTTTGTATATTTATTTTCTTTTGTGCATCCGAATTATACTAGTAAAGTGATTAGAGTTCATTTTTAATCTTCTTATCGAATACACCAGGTTTAAATTTTTAACTTGTCGACATCACCAGGTTTAAATTTTAACATGGTCGAAGTACACTAAGGTATTTCCCTTAAATACACCTTAAGGTCGTAAGTACACTAAGGTATTTCCTTCGAAACCATGAACTCAATAAGCCCTATGCTTACCCGGTTAGAACTTTAAAGGTGCACTAGCATATTTTGGAAAATTGATTTATATGATACAATGTGCTAGCTAGTTGATTGTATTTTCTTACTTGATATATATTAAGAGTTTTTGCATTGGTATTAGTACAATAGGTGTAATAATTAGTGACAATTTACCAAAGAATTTCATAATTAGTTTCAGGTAACAAGAGTGGAGCAAATGTTCCCGACTTCAACTACCGATTTAAATTTGTGAAACAATGGTATTATGTGAATAACTTTAACAAGTTGGATGGTCGAATGTGAACAAAAAAAAGGAAATTGCCTAGATGTAAACAAAGCGAACAAGTCATTACCTTCCTGGGTAATTATCTTTGCCACATATACGACATACAAGTTGTAACTTGCTATAACCGATCATAATTGTCATATCTTAACACTTCCAATAAGTTTGTTGCCTACATGTACACAAAATAAGTTACCTAACTGTGAGCACTACAGTACATTACCCTCCTGGGTAATTATCATTGTCACATATATGACACGTAAGCTGTAACTTGCTACAACCAATCATAATGGTTATATGTGAACACTTGCAATAAATTTGTTATCTACATGTATACAAAAAAAAGTTACATAAATGTAAACATTTCCAGAAAATGTATTAACCTAACAAGTCAATTTCTCTCTCTCTCTCTCTCTCTCTCTATATATATATATATATATATATATATATATATATATATATATATATATATATATATATATATATATATATATATATATATATATATATAACTCTCTAATTGATTTAGTTTGGCTTTGGATAATTTTTTTTAGTGAAAATTTATCCATCTGTCCTCATAACTAGACCGCTTTGTCTTTTCTTTACCATAGTAGTAACCATCGCCATAAAATTTGTAATCATCACATCGACATCTTCTAATCCATTTCGTACTTCATCTCGTCTTAAGTTAGGCATTGTTTATTTTTTTGAATCAAAAATTCATGAAGTCTGCAGACCACCTCTGCAACCCTCTGCAGCAGAATAGATAGACCAAACGACTACAAACTGTAATAAGAAACGTGTTTGTTTTTTAATATATGCGTGTTGCTGCAGATATTAAAAAAAAAAACTAATTTTATATAACGAATATATGTTTTTTAATACCGAAAATTTAATAATGTATAACATTTCAACAAAAATTTATGATATTTCAACAAAAAAATAATAATATTTCAAAAAACAGTTATCATTATTCAATATATAAAAAAAAAAATCATTTAGTAAGAATAAACAAAAAAAAAACAAAAAAACAAAAAAAAAAACAAAATGTGAAACAATAATTCAATAAGATTTCAACCATGTATAATTAAGATTCATCAAGATTTGAGATTGGAAGAGACAATACAAGTCATGTCCAAACAAAACACAAACATATGTTTTTTATTCTGAAAACTTCTAGTAAAAAACAACTGCGAGATGAAAAATATTGCACGTATTCTATGCCACGCACATTAAGAGGTCTGAAGATGTTTTTTACAAAAAAAAAAAAAAAAAAAAAAAAAAAACAAACAAAATGTACCTTAGTTTCCATATTTTTTTCGTATTGCAGTTATTTGGGTACTGCTTCAAAATTTTTGGTACTCTATTATTTAGTTGAATATTTAGTATCGTAATTGCTTAGCTACTATATTTATATGTGGTTAAATTTGTGAAGTTGTTTTTGTTAAATCGATGAAATTGTATTAGATATTATGTTCAGATAGTTAATGGTGATGTATTGTAGTTTACATCTATATATTTTTCGTATTGCGGTTATTTGGGTACTCCTTCAAAAATTTTGGTACTGCCATTATTTAGTTGAATATTTAGTATCATAATTGCTTAGCTACTATATTTATATGTGGTTAAATTTGTGAAGTTGTTTTTGTTAAATCGATGAAATTGTATTAGATATTATGTTCAGATAGTTAATGGTGATGTATTGTAGTTATTATGGATATAAATGAACTGAACGAATATGAACACAAGTTTATTTGTATCCATTTAAAAGACAAATGAAAGAACACGAACAATTAAACGAACAAAAGTTTATGTTTGTGTTCGTTCGTTAATAAATTCAGTTTGTTTTTATTTGTTTGTCTATTTATTTAATTGATAAACAAGCATAAACTAACATTAAAGAACATAAATAAATGAATACAAATGAACATAAAAATATATAGATGTAAACTTAAACGTACAAACACATACAAACATGCGTGTATGTGTAAAGAACATAAATAAATGAATACAAATGAACTTAAATGATCATAAAAATCTATAGATGTAATCTTAAACGTACAACAACATACAAACATGTATATATATATATATATATATATATATATATATATATATATATATATATATATATATATATATATACACACACACACGAAGAACATAAACAAAAATAAACGAATGTTTATAAACATAACGAAGGAACAAAAACATTTTTCATATCCATTCGTTTAAGTAAACGATATATTTTATTCATATTTGTTTGTTTATTAAATAAACGGTTATAAACAAACTTCTTATGTAATGGTTAATGAACAATTTGTTGAATCTTTAGTTCGTTTACAACCTAGAAGTTATGAACGAATCCCTTCGGATCTTTATAGATAAATAAACTTTTTGTTAAATTGATGAAATTATTTTTGTTAAATTTGCGAAGTTGTTTCAGTAAATTCGGTGAATTTGAGAAGTTGTTTTAATTAAACCGGTGCAATTGTTTCATTTATAATTGTTAAAATTGTCATTTTGACTGAAACAGTAAACTTCAATAAACCACAAAAACAACTTCTATAGTTTTGTCTTTTTGTAATGTATAGAAACGTACCACTATTCTTGTCTTTGAAAGCACAAACCTCTTTTGGTTGGGGAATATGTGTTGAAAACACAAAGTTGTTTTGTTTGTGGCAAGGAAACCCGATTCCATTGTTGTATTGTAATCACATATATCTATTACCATTTATAATTATGATTTCGGATAAAAACTCTTGTATGATCTTTACAAAAGACAATCTTGTGTTGCACATTTTTATATAATACTTTTTAGTCATTAAAGTAAGAAACCGTGGAATCAAACAAAAAGAAATAAAGCATCATCAATGTTTAAAGATATAAATAATTTGAATGCAGAAACCATGGGTAATGGGCCCCATCCATCAATCATACCCTCCACTTTAAATTATTAATTTCCTATTCTTCCTTTCTCTATAAAACTTTCGCATAATTCATCCCCCATTTCCAACTCTCTCTCTCTCTCTCTCTCTCTCTCTCTCTCTCTCTCTCTCATAATAATTCACACACACACAGTCCTGTGATTCCAGTGTACGATCATGTCAGGCAGGAAAACAAGGCCGCTGATCGGGAAGTTGTTAACCGCCGGCAACCGCTCCGGCGTTATGGAAGCCGGCAGCAGCCCAAGAACTCCCTTGGACTTCAAAATTCTGTCACCCAGAGGAATCGTGACTTGTGATATGAGTGGGGTTGGACTTGGCATAGTCGCCGCCCTCGAGAAATCCGGTGACGATATCCAGTCGACTTCCCGGTGCATCTCGATTCCGGTAACTCAAACTCCAAAGTTCGACGTTGATGACGAAAGCTTGGAAGAAGAGTACACCATAGTAACTCGCCACATGCCAAACAATTCATATACAAAAGTCTACGATGGTGGATTCGTATACGAAGGATACGTTAGAAGAAACAACGGGATGAAAGGAGAAGGTTGCTCCCTCTTCGACATATCTCCGGCGAGAGTTGATGTAAAAGGACACCCTGAGCCTGACTTTCTGAGTTTTTGTCATCTGTGCAAGAAAAAACTCCATGGGAAAGACATTTATATGTACAGGTAAAAGAAAAAGATATCTAAATCTTTGTTTTTGGTTAATCTTTTGTTGTGACTTGTGAAGTTTTGAATAGTTAAACTGATATGAGATGATGAATGATTGTCTGTAACAGGGGAGAGAAAGCGTTTTGTAGTATCGAGTGTAGATGCAGGGAGATTGGTATGGAAGAAATGAGAGAGAAACGTTGTGGAACTGAAGCGGTTTCAAGCTCTCCTTGCGGCGGTGATCATGTTCATGGCCGGATATTTTCCACCGGAATCTTCGCCATTTAACAAAACTCTTTTCTTCTTCCACAATTTTGTCAGATTGTAATTGGTAATTAAAACCACCGGAAAGCTCTCAATTTGAGCATTTCATTTGCAAAAAATACGAACTTTATAAAATTCCATCATACACAAGAACGAAGAGCTACATATAATATCATACACCCATCATGAAAGAATTTAAGAATTTAAACATAAGGCAACGAACTTCAAAGCAACCTAAGGTTTGTTTGTTACTCGTAGTACAAACTACAAAGGCGGTTGTGCAGCGGCAACACCAGTAACCACCGTCATACACCGCCTGTTGACTCCGAAATGAAACAAAAGCAAATTCGGCTGGATCGCTCCATCTTCTGATTGGACTTAACTCTTGCATTATTTGAGATAAAATCAACAGTAATATCATACAACTAAGTGACTTGATCGATCACTCATAATCTCACATTTTAATCAAGTAAAGTGTGGGTGGTGAGAGAAAGTAGGCTTTAAAAGCAAGTTCAAGGCTGTTGTATCTTCCTTTGACTAAAGGCATATGCCCAGTTAACTTTGATAGGCAGGACAAACCTGCAAGTAGATGAGGTTATTCATTTATTCACCAGTGTTCTGCAAGCATATGCCCAATTATTCATTTCAAAACACTATAAGAAATCTAAGGTATTACAAAACACTACAAAAAATCAAGGTATTAGCAACAAAAGGCGACACCGCAAAAGAGTCTATGTCGTCGCTAAAGCTATTAGCCGCAAAAAAGTAGTTATTTCTCACTATCCGTCACCACTAAGAAATCTAAGGTATTACAAAACACTACAAAAAATCAAGGTATTAGCAACAAAAGGCGACACCGCAAAAGAGTCTATGTCGTCGCTAAAGCTATTAGCGGCGAAAAAGTAGTTATTTCTCACTATCCGTCACCACTAATGTCATCCGTCGCCGCTAATATATATATTATTTAACATTAAAAATATAAGAAACAATATAAATACATAAAAACTGCTATAAAACTTAATTTTGCATAAATATTGATCCAAAATATTAATCAAACAAAATGAAATATGTTCAAAATATTAACTGAAACAAAACATTTCATAAAATCCTTAAAAAGTTTCTATTCGTTTCATCACTTACATCGTTTCGTTCGTTATCATTTCGTGGCAGCAGTGAGCGAAACCAGTCTTCCAGTGCCGCAGAGCAGGCCAGGTCCTTTAACAGCATCTTCAACTACAAAGAAAACAAAATATATTACCACCTTTCTGGTACTGAAACCATCAAAGTGTGACAATGTAGTGAATAGTTATCAGAGTACAATTCCAAAATCATAAAATGCAGAATACTGGTGGATGCAGTTTGATCATGCCGACCCTTCCTCTATGAACTAAAAATACATGGAAAACATTTTAAAAATAAATTGTAAGCAAAAAGCTTAGTGAGTTCACCAAAATACCGCATATCATACATAAATATTAGAATGAGGCTATAACAGGTCTATTTCGCGCCTGAGTCTATTTCACCCATGAGTCCCTTCTGACTCAATAAGTATTTTTCAATCGAACGGGTCCATTTCACCTAGAGTCCTTTCTGACTCAATCGGTGTTTTTCAATCGAACAAGTCTATTTCAAACCCCCCCCCCCCCCACAGACACACACACACACACACACACACACACACACACATATATATATATATATATATATATATATATATATATATATATATATAGCATATGGACATACATGCATTCATCAAGAGTCACAAAAATAACAAACACATACGACACCTAGCATCCTACAGTATAGTGAGAAAACTCACCTCAATTCAGATAACTCTCACACCCGAGCTGCTGATCCAAGAATCTCCTCATTAGGGTAATAATCATAATCAAAGGTCCATATCATACTTTCTCTCTCTAGGGTAAATGATCATTTTACCCTTTCAAAGCTAATCCCAACCAAACATGGCCCAAGGCCCAAAAATGACCCAGTTACACTTCTGGGAGTATGCCATGCGTAATCCTTCCTTATGTCATGCGTACCAAGTTTCCACAGAAAAGAAAAGGGGCAATCCTCATTACGCACTGCGTACTTAGGGGTTACGCCCCACGTAATCTAGCAGATTGTCAAACTCTTCATGAAGCTCTTAATAGCTTAAGACCCAATGTATAACACTCATATCTGACTCTAATGGACATCTAAAGTTATAAAGTTCCCGACTTTATCACTTTGAATGGCCTTATGGAGTCCAAAACCAAACCATAAGTCGTTAACATCCTCTAATGACTCTAAACCCTTGCATGGGTTTAAAGAAACCATCAAGATCCCATTTTTATTACTTAGTATCATCAGAAATGACAAGATATGTCAATCACTAGCTCTGGAGTAGCTTTTACTCATAAGAACCAAAGCCATGGGACCAAAAGCATGAAAACCTCTAAGCTAACTTACATATAACCAAGGAATCATATAGGTTTGAGCTTTATACCTTTTGAAGCTTGCAAATGAGATGAAAGTCCTGGATCTTCAAGCTCGAAGCTCACCTATGCTCCTTTAAGGAATTCCTTCTTCACATAAAAACTCACTTAAAATGATCAAGATCTTCACAAAGTTGTAACGCCCCGATTCCCAAGTATTGATTTCTTTTGTTATAAGATCTTTTGATTTCAAGGTCTACTCGGCGAGTTGGTTGCTCGACTCGTCGAGTAGCAGCGCGTTGGTCCACGTGTTTAAGCGACCTACTCGCCGAGTCCAAGGAGGGACTCGATGAGTAGGAGTTGGAAGATGAAACCCTAATTTCCGGGGTTTTGCACCCTGTTTATGTAACACCCATAAAAATTTAAGCCAAATTTTAAACTTTTCAAAACACTTTAAATCAATAATCATTACAACTTTGTTTTTCTAAAATAGTTCATATCAGAGTTTTCCTAGCAATCATAACAAAAGATGAAGAGTTGTACAATCATGCCTTAGCCTTGCCGCGATCCCCCGATGTACCTAAAACAATAAACTGAAACTGTAAGCCCGAAAGCTTAGTGAGTTCCCCCAAAATACCCATACTCACAGCTATACACATAGAATCACCAACATCATACTATGGGTCTAGTCAACCATCGGGTTGGAATACCCCAGGCCCACAACCAATAGGTTGGAATGCCAACATACTATGGGTCTAATCATCCTCGGGATGGAATACCCCAGGCCCACAACCAACAGGTTGGAATGCTCACATACTATGAGTCCAATCATCCTCGGGATGGAATACTTACGGCCCACAACCAACAGGTTGGAATGCCCAGGTCTATTGGCCTCCGCACAAAGCAAATAAGCCTCAACCACCAAACAAATATGTGCACATATAAGAGATAACCACATAACAGTCAATAGACAACAAACTGATCTACCGGATCATATAACATACCATATAATATTATCCTACCCTCTAGGATATTGAACTAACAGATCATACCACATAGCATATAATATTATTCTACCCTCTAGGATACCGATCTAACAGATCATACTAGCATATCATAACTAGATAACAATCCAAAGGGCCGGCCTTGGTGCCTTAGCCCTTGAGTATAGTCAGGATAACTCACCTTGCGACTGCCGACTGGAAATAGAAAGCTTACTCTCAAAACACTTCCACAAACCCCACCACTTATATCCAACATATCATAAGGTTTATAAATTCCTGAACACCCCATAAGTCAACTAGTCAAACCTTGGTTAAATTTAAAGTCAACTGTCAAGGTCAACAGCCCATGTTGACCTCAACTCGTCGAGTACCTTCAGCTACTCACCGAGTTTCTTGCAATACTTTTCCGCTCACCGAGTCACCAAAATGACTCGTTGAGTTCCTAAGGCTCGTGGTCGAAGCTCCATGGCCACTCGTCGGGTTTTCCTTCTTGCAACTCGACAAGTTCACACGCATCCATTAATTGGGAAACCTTAACTGACTCGTCGACTTGTTCATCCAACTCGTCGAGTCTACGACAATCTTCATTGGACTCGCCGAGTTGTTCATCCAACTCGTCGAGTTCTAGACATTCTTCATATGACTCGCCAAGTCGACCATGTGAATCGCCGAGTCCCTTCAATCCTTTAACCATTCAGACACTTTTTAAGCCATGCCAAGGCCCAAAATTGTAGATCCAACTTCCTTAGCTATGCTTATCACATAAAGTTGCAAACTTTACATGCATGAAAGGCTTTTAAGACCCTAAAATGACAAAACTAAGCCTGCAATGAAGTTACACACTTGAGGGAAGGCTCATACAAGGCAAAGCTGATGACTTTATGAATCTAGAGGCCAAGGGGAGTACAAATCCGAAGTTACAACTTTAGATCTAGGCTTAAGCATAAGAAACTTTTCTTAAAACTCATGCAAAAGAGGGTTTATGTGAAAATGAGCCAAGGAAAACGGTCTAGTACATTCAAGAGAGTGCTTACTGATGCAGATCTTGAATCCCACAAGCTCTTGCTTCAACTAGCTTGTTTCCCTAAATGTTTCCTTCACCAAAATCCTTCCTCCAAGCTTAAACTCTCCAAAAGAACACACAAACATGAATTAGGGTTAAATAGAGACAAAAGGTTGTAAATGGGAGGTTGGGGGAGGCCAATGATCCTTTAAATAGGGTGAGATGCCCCGAAATTTAGGGTTTCATCTACTAGCTCCTACTCGTCGAGTCCCTTCTTGGACTCAGAGAGTAGGTCACTAAAACGTGTGGACCATCGCGCTACTACTTGACGATTAGGGCGACCAACTCATCGAGTAGACCCAAAGACCAAGAAGGATTCATACATAAATCAATACTTGAGAATCGGGGCTTTACAATTTAAAGGATCACTGACCTCCCCAGCCTCCCCTCTACAGCCTCTTGTCATTCCAAACCCTAAATGCATGTGTTTGTGCTTTCTTGGTGTGTTAAGCTTTAAAGAAGGATTTTGGTGAGAAAGGCATGGGGAAAACAAGTGGTTAGAAGCAAGGAACTCGCGGGGAATCAGAGATCTACTTTAATGGGAACCCTTTTTGAAGGTATTAAGCTGTTACGTTGGCTCATCTCTTCCTAGATCTCTTTTGGATGGTTTTTAGAAAGTTTTTCTTGTGCTTGAGCTAAGATCTGAAGTTGCAACTTCAGATCTAAACTCTTTTTGGTCTCTAAGTCCATAAAGTTGCCATCATTGGTAAGTATAAACCTCCCCTCAAGTGCAAGACTTCTTTGCAACTTTACGTGATAAGCATGCCTTGGGAAGCTGGATCTGCAATATGGAGCATTTACATGGCTTAAAAATCATCTGTATGGATGAAGGACTGAAGGGACTCGATGAGTGTCATGGTCAACTCAGCGAGTCCGTTGAAGATTGTCATTGTCTCGGTGAGTCAGATGAATGAATCGGCGAGTCGGATGGGGTTTTCCCAACTTTTGGACATATATGAACTTGGCGAGTTACAAGGGAAACTCAATGAGTCGGCCAAGGCTTTTATGACCGCAAACCTTAGGAACTCAACGAGTCACTCTAGTGACTCAGCGAGTTGGTGAGTTATGCATGGAACTCAGCGAGTAGCTGAGGGCACTCGACGAGTTGAGGTCAACATGGATTGTTGACCATGACAGTTGACTTTGAAATTGACTAAGGGTTGACCAGTGGTCTTCTAGGGATGTTTTGGGAGGTTGGAAATTTACAAGTATGGTTTTAAAATGAATATAGGTGGTGGAGTTCGTGGTAGTGATCTGAGAGTTTGAGCTTATCTTACGAATCAACACTTGCGAGGTGAGTTATCCTTACTATATCAATAGGGTCTAAGGCACCAAGGTCGGACCTTTATGGATTTGTATCTGGATTATGGCATGATATGTTTATTGAGTACATCCTGGTAGTTAGGATGGTGATATGCTTATGCTTAGTGACCTGGTTAGATCGGTGTCCTAGTTGTAGGA